TACTCTTTTATATCATGTAAATCATAGTTATATGTTGTGGAATATTCATATTTGTCAAACTCATGGGTTGTGTGTGTGCACAACAGTTATGCATGCACATTGGTTGCCAATTCTTTTATTTGGCTTGTTTCATCTGTTGTGTTTGTGCACTCCAGTTCTTAGTGCACACTGTTTGTCAGACTTGTGTCTTGGCTTGTTTCATTTCTAGTTTGTGTTCACAACAGTCTATGTTTACACTCTCACTTTAGATATTTTACAACCCAAAACAAGTTGCATGTCTGATAAAGTAGAAAAGATATTGTTTATCTTTGCCTTTTACTTTTTAGGACCTCTTTACATATGTCACAAAATGCTTGGGTTGTCCTAGGGGATAAAATAACCTTTCCCGATTTGCTTTGTGGTCCAAACCAAAGGAAGAAATACTTTCCTTATTTGGACAAACATTGGGTTAGTGATAATCCAAGAATTATACTATTTCATCTAGGCTTTTTGGTCAGATTTTAGATACTTATTAGTTCATTTATGCCTGAATTGCTACTTAATTCTATACATTTTGTGTTGCAGGCCAAAATGGACATTTTAAGCAAATAATGAGCGAATTGGAGTTTCTAGACCCAGAAGTAAGCGGATCTCAAAATTTGGGAGAGTTCTAAAGCAGAGTGAAGCACTATGAAGCTTGTTTCCATGGGAGAGCATCGAAGATCAAAGATTCAAGCAAAGAAGCAAGCGGAGGGCAATTCTGTAATTTCAGAATTCTTCATGAAGGTTTGCCACGGCAAAAGAAGTTAAGCATGAGAGTCCATTTTACCTCGTTGCCGCGGCGAAATTCTTTCTTCGCCGCGGCGAAGTCTACGAATTTTAGTTTTCTCCAAAACGCACAGTTTTATTTTAGGAAAGTTTTAGGTCTTTTGGGCGAGCTATATAAGAAAAACCTTGCCATTTTGAGAGGGGATTCATCTAGGTTTGTCTGGTTTTTGTTGAGTATTGAATAGCTCTTACATTGGGTAGAAGATTTGAGCTTGAATCTTGTAGAATCTTCAACTAGGGGAGATCTCTACTCTTTTCTCTGTAATTCAATATGTTGATTTATGGGTTTATTGTTTTTTTACTGTTTATGTTGATCTAGTTATGAACTAACTCATTTTGGGTTAGGGTTTTGATGTAACTCGGATTTCTATGGGTTAATCATTTGATTATTGTTATTTTTATATTCTATTGCACAGATTGTGTGGTTATTCTGTTTTTATTGATTTTATTTGATGAATATGATGAGATTGAGAAATGAATCATGCTGAGCTTCTTGGGTAATCACCATTGTAGTACTGAATGCTAGAGATAGATTTGAAAGTCAATGAAATCAATCTAGGATTTCATTAGCTTAATGAACTTGATCTATTATTCTTCAATTTTTTGGGTGTGGAAGTTTAATAGGAAAAAGTAGGAATTCATAGCCTGAGAAGGTATGTTTGACAACTTAGAGAATTCGATTTACAATCTTGGCATGTGAGTGTGAAAATAGCATAATCCGTAAAAATTCATCCATAGAGTTCGAATGAATTCAAAACCCTAACCGTTTGTTAAATTGATATTACTCTTGCTTTAAATTCTTGTTCTCATTAGTTAGTTTTTAATACTTAGTAAGTTTTGTTTTTAGTTTATTTTCTAATCTCCCATTAATCCAAACAATTTCGGTTTCTCCAACTTGAAAAAAACACTTAGGAAAATCAGTGCTTAACAATCAATCCTCGTGGGAACGATACTCACTCATCACTTTATTACTTTGTGTGACTAGTGCACTTGCTATCATTGCATGTTGTTGTTACAACGCATTAAGTTTTTGGCGCCGTTGTCGGGGATTGAGTTGTGTGTTAACATTAATTTTTTCTTGTGTTAGCTAGATTGGAGCTTTATTTTTCTTTGTTTAATTGTTTTTAGTTTAATTTTTGTTGTTGTTTTTGGTTGGCTTGTGATCTCACTTTTTCTCTCTTTCTGTGTAGTTTATGCGTGGAACAAGATGTCAGCCAGTGGTTCCTGTCGATCCTGAAATTGAAAGAACCACTAGAAGACTTAACAGAGAAAGAGAGGCTATAGTTGAATCAGAGGCCATAGTTGTTGAGATGGCAGAAAATAGAACACTAAGGGAATTCTCAGTTCCCACAGTTGAAGGTAGTGGTCGAGCATTACTAGACCAATGGTACAAGCCAACAACTTCGAGATAAAGCCAGCAATCATCCAGGTGATCCATCAGTCAGTACAGTTTAAAAGGGATTTAAAGGAAGATCCAAATCTACACATAGCCAATTTTTTGGAGATTTGTGATACTTTCAAGTCAAACAAAGTGTCAGATGACGCCATCAGATTGAGACTGTTCCCGTTTTCATTGAGGGATAAGGCAAAAGGATAGTTAATGGCACTACCATCAGGAACGATCACAACATGGAATGATTTAGCACAGAAATTCCTGACCAAATTCTTTCCTCCAGCAAAATCGACAATGCTGAGAAATGATATCACATCGTTTCTAAAAGAAGAGTCAGAATTACTAAGGAGGTGTCCACATCATGGGTTACCAGTTTGGATGCAAGTCCAAATGTTTTACAATGGATTAATGGTTAATGTGCAAACTATGGTGGATGTAGCCTCGGGAGGAGCACTACAGAATAAGACATCGGAAGAAGCTCATGAGTTGCTTGAAGTTTTAGCAAGTAACAACTATCAAAGACCTAATGAAAGGGTGCAACCAAAGAAATCTATGGGTCTTTATGAAGTTGATGCATACACGGCTATCTTAGCCCAACTCACAGCACTTCAGAAACAGTTGGCATGTATGCAGGTAAATTCTATTCAAGCTCCTTAATTAATTTATGAATTTTGTGTAGGTGGTCATGTGAGCAGTGAATGCCAAGTGGGGAACAAATTTGCTTCAGTGTCTTCATCATCGGAGCAGGTTAACTACTTGGCAGGAAATCAAAGGCAACCGAACAACCCCATACTCCAACACATATAATCCTAGTTGAAGGAATTATCCGAACCTTTCTTGGGGCAATCAGAATCAACAAAATCAATAGAACAATCAATGGAATCAAAAAGCAATGCCAAACAACCAAGATGGGGTGAATAATCAATAAAGAGAGCAAAGAGTGACAAAACTGGATGACATGTTTGGAAAATTTATGCAAGAGACCATTGGTTTTATGAATGAGACGAGGAATAATTTTAGAAATCAAGGGGTGTCCATTCAGAACTTGGAGGTACAAGTGGGTCAATTGGCTGATAAGTTAAATGAGAGACCACAAGGGTCCCTACCGAGCAACACAGTGACTAACCCACGTGAGCAAGCAAATGCAATAACTCTGAGAAGTGGGACAGTGTTAGAAGAAGTAGAACAATCAGGGAAATAAGGAAGCCCACCAAAAGAAAAGGAAGATTATGATGAGGAAGTTGATGAAGAGATAGTTGCTGAAGAGAAACCAACCAGTTCTAGGGTTGATGAACAAAAGCGGTAAGAGAGGCAGCGACAAAAGAAAAAAAAATTGCTATTTCCCGAGATACCACCAGAGTTGGCACATCACACTCCTCCCGTGCCTTTTCCTCAAAGACTCAAGAAAAAGAATCAGGATAAGCAGTTTTCCAAATTTATTGAAATATTTAAAAAACTGCATATTAATATTCCTTTTGCAGATGCCAAGCTACACAAAATTTCTCAAGGAGATTTTATCAAACAAAAGGAAGTTAGAAGATGAGGAAACAGTGATGCTCAAGGAGGAGTGCAGTGCCATTCTCCAGAAGAAGCTACCCCTGAAACTCAAAGATCCAGGGAGTTTTACTATTCCTTGCATTATAGGAGACATTACTTTTGATCTAGTTTTGTGTGATTTAGGTACAAGCATCAATCTAATGCCTTTTTCTGTTTTCAGGAGATTGGGAATTGGTGAAGTACAGCCAACGACCATGTCGTTGCAGCTTGTAGATAGATCCGTCAAACATCCAAGGGGTATAGTCGAAGATGCGTTGGTGAAGGTGGACAAGATTATCTTTCCAACAGACTTTGTTGTTTTGGACATGGAAGAGGATAAGGAAATGCCTCTTATTTTGGGCCGACCATTTTTGGCCACGGGAAGAGCACTCATTGATGTGCAAGAAAGAAAGTTATTGTTAAGAGTTCAAGATGAAACAGTAACTTTCAATGTGTTTGAAGCTATGAAGTTTCCATCCGAATCAGATTCGTGCTTTAGTGTTGATGTGGTGGATAAACTAGTAGTAGAGGTTATTAAAGAGAACACTCCACAACTGCCTCCAGAAGCTTGTATTGCCCAATCAAAAATAGTAGAGGTAGATGAGTTGACAAAGAATGAATGTGCTAGATTGTTGGAAGTGCTTCAGCCGATTGATGAGAGCCAAGATCTAGAATTTGAGGAATTTGATTTTGAGAAGGAGAAGGAAAATGAAAGAAATGAAGAACCTCTGAAGCTTGAACTGAAGCCTTTGCCTTCCCACCTTAAATATGTGTATCTTGGTGAAGCAGAAACCTTCCCAGTAATCATCAATTCAAGGTTGAGCAAATTGGAAGAAGTGTGGTTGATTCGGGTATTAAAAGAACATAGATTAGCAATTGGATGGACTATTTTGGATATTAGAGGCATCTCTTTGTTGTTTTGTATGCATAAGATACTTATGGAAGATGATGTCAAGCCCAGGGCGCAACCACAACGGAGACTGAATCCTTTGATGAAGGAGGTGGTGAAACTTCTAGATGTAGGCATAATTTATCCTATTTCTGATCGTCTATGGGTGAGCCCGGTGCAAGTGGTTCCGAAGAAAGGAGGTATCACAGTGATAAAGAATGAAAGCAATGAATTGATACCAACTAGGACGGTCACGGGCTGGAGAGTATGTATTGACTACCAAAAATTAAATGAAGCGACAAGAAAGGATCATTTCCCACTTCCTTTCATCGATCAGATGTTGGAGAGATTGGCAGGGCATGCTTACTACTATTTCCTGGATGGTTATTCAGGATATAATCAGATTTCCATCGCTCCTGAGGATCAAGAGAAGAGAACCTTCACTTGTCCCTATAGAACCTTTGCTTACCGAAGGATGCCTTTTGGGTTATGCAATGCACCAGCTACATTTCAGAGATGTATGATGTCGATCTTTGGTGATATGGTGGAGCGGTTTATAGAAGTCTTCATGGATGACTTCTTTATTTTTGGTTCATCTTTTGACAATTGCTTATCTAATCTTTCACTTGTTTTGCAGCGATGTAAGGAGACAAACTTGGTGCTCAACTGGGAAAAGTGCCATTTCACGGTCTAGGAAGGGATAGTGCTTTGTCATAGAATTTCAAGGGATGGAATAGAAGTGGATCGAGCAAAAACAGAAGTAATTGAAAAGCTACCACCACCTTCAAATGTTAAAGCAGTTCGGAGTTCCTTAGGGCATGCGAGGTTTTATAGATGGTTTATCAAGGATTTTTCTAACATCTCTAAACCCCTTTGCAATTTATTGATTAAAGATGTTGCTTTTGATTTTAATGATGAATGCATGCATGCCTTTTAAACTCTAAAAAAATTATTAGTGTATGTACCTATTATTGCAGTTCCCGATTGGGGACTGCCATTTGAATTGATGTGTGATACTAGTGATTTTGCACTAGGAGTAGTGTTAGGACAGAGGAAAAAAAAAGTGTTACATGTAATTCAATATGCTAGCAAAACACTCACTAATGCACAATTGAATTACACCACCACTGAAAAAGAATTGTTGGCTGTGGTTTTTGCTTTTGACAAATTTCGTTCATATTTGCTAGGTGCTAAGGTGATAGTCTACCGGACCATTCAGCACTCAAGCACCTATTGGCACAGCAAGAAGCAAAACCTCAGCTGATAAGATGGATCCTATTGCTACAATAGTTTGAGTTGGAGATTCAAGATAAGAAGGGGTTAGAAAATGTGGTGGCAGACCATTTGTCAAGGATTGAACGACCAATTCAGGGAAATGAAGAAGAACCCAAATCAGAGAAACTTTCTCGGATGAGAAATTGATGAAAGTGGAGGAAGCACCATGGTATGCAGATTTTGCAAACTACTTGTCATCGAGAGTGTTCCCAATTGGCATGACCTTCCAACAAAAGAGGAAGTTTTTCTCTGACTTGAAATATTACTTCTGGGAAGAGCTATTTCTGTATATACACTGTGCTGATCAGATGATACGTAGGTGTGTCCCAGAAGAGGAAATGGAGAGTATTCTATGGCATTGTCACAAGAGAGAAGTGGGTGGCCATTTTGGAGGAGCTAGGATAGCAACCAAGGTTCTTCAATTTGGGTTTTATTGGCCAACCCTTTTCAAGGATTCTTTCCGGATGGTTCAGGAATGTGACCAATGTCAACGGAGTGGAAATATTTCAAAGAGAGATGAGATGTCGTTGAACAATATCCTAGTAGTTGAGTTGTTTGATATGTGGGGAATTGACTTCATGGGTCCTTTCCCAAATTCTTATGGGAACATATACATTTTGGTAGCGGTGGATAACATATCGAAATGGGTGGAAGCAGTCGCATTGCTGTCCAATGATGCTAGGGTGGTGGTGTTAGTAAACGGTCCCATACACACAGCGGAAACAAAAAATTATAATTCAGGGATCGTTACATGAGCCAAGATCAAGGGTATAATTTTACAATTCATACTAAATAAAAATCTACAAGAAAAATAAATCTGAGTTTAAAGAAAACAAACGCATGTTGGAGGCTCCTCCAAATTTGTCGACGAATGTTTCGCTACCGATCCAAATGTAGGATCGAACCTGCGTAGTCCACACGAAGACATTCTCAAAAGAACCAAAGAGGGATTTGCTAGATCCTCTTTGGCTTCAAGATTAAGAACAAAGCAAATCAATTGAAATTGATTTTAGGCTAAGAATGTTGCTGCCGTGGGAGTGTATTGGAGTGGCTGCTGTGTGTTTTAATTTCAAGAAGAAATCAATTAATTAAAAAATTAACACACACACTTTTCTTTTTATAGTTAATCAATTTGCCCTAATCCCATACGGAATAGGCTTGGGCTCCAACCCAAACGCCCCATGTTGCCAAATAGTCCCAATTTAATATTTTATTTTTCCATCATTATCTCAATTAAAATCAATTAATATATATATATATTAACATTTAACAATGGGTTGAAACCAAGGTGAAACCTCTGGACATTTTCGCGCGGCGCACAAGGTTTCTTCCGCCGCGGCGACGGGCCGATTTTCATGTTGGTTGAGTTTTAGACATTTTCTTCCCTAAGGGCAATTTGACCTTTCTACCCCTAATTAGCAGGAAAAGTGGGGAGTTATTGTAAGGATTTTTCATGGAGAATATGTTGATATGGGTGTGTTTGTAATGAATCAAAGGTATGGATGGAATTTCCAAAGATGAATAAGGGCAAAATGGGAATGGGTGTGTTATATTTCATTAAAAGGAATTAAGAGTTAGCAAACCCTCATTCTTCTTCTCCAAAAACGCAACCCTCTCTTCTTCTCCTCTCAACTTCTCTTTTCTTTTGTTCAAGGAATTTCAAGGGATTTTGAAGTGATCTGGGGTATAGGAACAACCTAGGCTTCCTAAGGTAAGGATTTCTCCTTAAGTTGTGTTGATTTGTAGATTTTAGTTCATTTGTTTTTTTGAGGGTTTTCATTCTTTTGGTTAAGAGTAGAGAGAATAGCCAGAAAACCAAGTGGAAGAGATTTGGTGAAGTCTCCCATACAATAAGTAAAACCCAACCCAAGTTGAGATTCATGAAATTTCTGATTAGGTTTTGATAGAAATGATGTATGTATTTGATGTGCATGTAATATGCCATGTAGGAGTATTAATGGAGATTTCTATGCTTTGTGAATGTTAATACCTTGCAAATATGAGAAATGGGTTGTTGATTGGCAGGTAGTTGAGATGAATTGAAGGGGTGTTATGGAACCCTCTTTGGAAATGTGTTATTTGACAGTTATTATGATGACTTTGTGAAGGGGTTTTTCCCCTTTTGGATGGTTAGGAAAAGTTTTAGATTCATGGCTATGATAGAGTTTTATAGTGCACATGAGTTGTTTGATGAAATGCCTAATAGGGAATTGAGTGTGAGTAATGAACCTTAATTCTTGCAACATTGCATGTTGGCATTTCACAAGTGCATTAGTAGAGATGAATCATCCATGTGCTTGATATGCATTGACAAGTGACCTAAGAAAGAGGGGAACTTTGTGATAGAAAGACCCTATGAGTAGAGAGCTTATGGGTAAAATTACTCTAAGGGTAGAGAGCATTGAAAAATGCTACAATAGAATGATTGAAGAGTAATATATTTGGGATGATGCTTTGTGATCATCCCCCGACCGTTATGGGAATCGATCGATGCTTTGTGATCATCTTCCGAATGGCCCTTAGAATGGGTAAGATGCTTTGTGACCACTACCCATTAGTTAGAGAATTAGTAGTTGATGCTTTGTGATCATCATCCACGGCTATAGAAGCGGGTTGATGCTTTGTGATCATCACCCGATAGTGACTAGAGACGGGTAAATGCTTAGTGATCATTACCCAAAATTCATGAGACGGTAAGTGCTAGGTGATCTCTACCCGATAGTTAGGAGAACCGAGTGGTGCTTTGTGATCCTCACTCGGTAGTCACTAAGAAAGGGTTGGTACGTGTGATTCCACCCGATAGCCATAGAAAGTGAGATGGTGCTGTGTGAACGCCATCCGGCCGTACCTCCGTTAAGATGAGGCCATGATGTTATTAGAACAGAAATAGAAACAGATTAGAAAAGGAAAGAATTAAGAGTCACACACGGGGACAGACAGTGAGAGTTTTACTTACTGAGCATTATTTGTGCTCACCCCTTTATTTTTCCTTTGTGGATGCAGGTTCTAGGTGATGATGCGTTGGAGGGGCTGTCGGCGCGCGAGGAGCAATAGCTACACTGTTCCCCTATTTTGTCTTTTAAATGCACTTTTGTAAACATAACCTTTGTGTATAAGACATGTGAATTGTAATGAAAAGAAACATTTTGGCCAATTTTCCATTGTTAATTGCATGCATTGTACTAGTTTTCAGTAGGTGTTACAATTTAAAAATGAGCAATACAACCTATGATCAATAATCGGAAAGAAAACAGTTGGATGGATCTAATTTCTCAGACTGGTATCGAAATCTTTGGATTGTACTAAAGTCTGAAAAGAAATTATATATCCTTGACAAGCCTTATTTGGCTGAGCCTGATCCTGATGCCACTCAGGAAGTAAAGGAAACTTACCAAAGGTTCCTTGACGATCTTGATACTGTTCAATGCCTTATGTTAACATCGATGACACCAGAGCTACAAAAACAACATAAGAATATGGACGCTGCTGCCATAATTCTGCATCTCAAGGAGCTTTTCAAAGGAAACGCTCAACAGAGTGGTATAGGTGTCGGTACGTTATTTAGAATTATTATGACTAAGGGAGCCCAATTTGGTCCTCATGTGCTGAAGATGATTGGGTACATAGAGAGGCTTGAGACTTTGGGATTTGGGTTGGATGCGAATTACAAATGGATTTAATTCTGCAATCCTTACCTGATTCTTTTGCACTGTTCATTATGAATTTCAATATGAACACGATGGTGAAATCCCTATCAGAGCTTCTAAACATGCTGAGGACTACACAGCAGGACTGAAAAGGTCCAAGCCTGTTTTATCGGTTACTGCCATAATGGTGATGAGATCCTAACCCATCATGCCAATCCCAATTGCTAGGGTTTCGTTGAAGACTCAAGGACAACATGAAGATCAACATTCGGCCCAAGCATCCCAAGCACTCAAGGAAGTTCCAAAATTGTCCAAGAATCTTAAAGTTCCAAGGCACGGCTCAACCCAATTTTGTGACCTAAAACGTGTACAAAAGGGGAGCAAGTTTCATTGGCCCAAGCCCAAGTTTTGGGTGTCATTTGATTCAAATTTTGGAGGAAAAACCCTAAAATTGTTGTTAAGGACAAGGGTCCTTAATTAGGGAAAAGTTGCCCACTTGATCATTAATGGTTATGGCTTAATTTGACATGTGTGGTGGACTTTTGTTTATGTATTTGAATGTATATTTTAATGTTTTCATTATGTAATTTTGCTAGGGTAAATCCCTATTTTTGTAAAGCCTATATAAAGGCCCACTTGATCATTTTGTAAAGGACTTGAATATTGAATGAATAGTGACTTGTCTTGAGAAAGTGTTTTCTCTTGTTTCCTTTACCCAAGTTCGGCCAAACTTGGTGGTGGAGTATCTTTCAAGCTGGTGGAGTTTCCTTTAGGCTTGATTGAGTCCTTGGTCATCTCTTATGTAAGTTGTATTCCTTTAGTTTCAAGTAAACTCATTTTCCGGAATTTGTTTGCATGGTGTGTATGATTCCTTTGTTGTGCATTTGACATAAATGATTTGGTGAATGACTAGAGCTTGTTATAAGGGGTTTTTTTTTAGTCATTTGATGGTTGTGAAAGTGCATGAGGGTGATACCGAATGGTCATAAGGAGTTGAAAAAACCTAGCCTAGGTTGAATCAAAAGGGGTGTTTTGGGTAGTATATGAATTGAGGTTGAAGAAATTCATATCATTGGTATCAGAGCTAGGTTGAGGATTGAATTTGTGAAGATTGAGGTATTGATTGATAAAAAACTTTGGAGAAGTGTTAGTGTGTTGTGTATTTT